CACATCCCCAGCCCGTCTATTTGATTCTTGAAATTGAGAAGGGTTGTTTGATGTACATAGATGCTCCACTGTTTGGGGCATAAATATTTATGATTATTATGTCTTCTTGATGTATAATTCCCTTAAGCAATATAAAATGACCTTCTTGGTCCCTTCAGATTAACTTTGGCTTGAAGTTTACTTTATCTGAAATGAGGACAGAAGCACCTGTTTGTTTACGAGATGAGATCCCTGTTATCTCGTAAACAAACAGGGAAAAAATGATATTTTTTTCCCATCATTTTACCTTCAATCTGTGGATGTCTGGCCCTATGAGGTGAGTCTCTTGGCAGCATATTGAGTCTTATTTCTTAATCCAGTCTGCCGGTCTATGTCTTTAAAAATTTTTTTTTAGTTGTATATAGACACAATATTTTTTATTTTATTTATTTATTTTTACATGGTGCTGAGGATGGAACCTAGTGCCTCACACATGCTAGGCAAGCACTCTACCACTGAGCCGCAACCCTAGCCCCAGTCTATGTCTTTTGATTAATGCATTAGGCCATTTACATTCAATGTTATTATTGAGATATGATTTTTATTCCTTATCATTTTGATTTTTATGGTTTTTAATTTGAATTAGTTTCTCCTTTGACTGACTATTATTGACTATTAATATAGATCCTCCCTTTGCTGGTTTTCACTTTTATTTTTCCTTTATTCTTCATAAAATATTTTATTGAGAGCCTGGGGCTGTGGCTCAGTGGTAGAGCACTCGCCTAGCACGTTCGAGGCCCTGGGTTCAATCCTCAGCACCACATATAAATAAATAAGTAAAATAGAGGTATTGTGTCAACTATAATTAAAAAAAAATTTTAAATATATTTTATTGAGTCTGTTATGTAGTATGGGCTTTCTAGTTGTGAATTCTTTTAACTTTTGTTTATTGTGGAAGGTTTATCATTCATTTTCAATTCTGAAGCTTAGTTTTGCTGGGTATAGTATTCTTGGTTGGGATCCATTTTTGTTTTAGAGCTTAATATATACTATTACAAGATCTCCTAGTTTTTAGGATGTGGGTTGAGAAATACAGATGGTTTACCTCTAACTGTTGTTTTTCTCTAGCAGCTTTTAAAATTCTATATTCTATATGTTAGGCATTTTTATAATAATGTGTCTTGGTGTAGGTCTGTTGTAATTTTGTATATTTGGAGTCCTGTATGCCTCTTGTGTTTGGTTTTCCATTCTATTCTTAAGATTTGGGATTTTCTGATATTATTTCATTGAAATGGTTGTTCATTCATTTATTTTGTATTTTAGAGTCTTTATGAATTTTAAATCTACCTTTATGAATTTTAAATTTGGCATTTTCATGTTATCCCATATTTCTTGAAAATTGTGTTGATGATCTTTTAACATCTTTTCTCTTTGGTCAACTTTATTTTCAATATTATATGTTTTGTCTTCATTGCCCAAAATTATATCTTCCAAGTGGTCTAGTCTATTGGTGATGTTTTCCATTGAATAGTTTTCCATTGAATATTTTTTGGTTTATTGATTTCTTCATTTTGAGGATTTCTATTTGATTCTTTTTCAGAATATCTTTTTTTTGAAGTGATCTTCCACTTCTTATATTTTCTCTCTGATTTCACTTTTTACATTGTCTTTTACCTTACAGATCAGTTTAATATGAACATTCTAAATTCCTTCTTGACATTTCCTCCACTGTGGTGTCAATGGCTTCTGTTATTGGGATATTTTGGCTTATATGGGATAGTTTGTTCTCTTACTTCTTCATATTGTTTGTGTGTCTACCCATTTATCAGTATATGTCTTTTGATTGGTAAGTTTTTACCTCTATCTGAAGGTAGCAGAGTTTCTACCCTATGAACTTATGGTGTCCCTGAAGATTTCTAGTACCTCACTGTTTCAGGGGAGACAAATAATAATAATAATCAAGGCAAATAATATACAGCATTAAACTAAATATTTAATCCCTACTATGACAACTACAATGTTAATTGGTACAATATACAGAAATGGTATGATATGCAATTGCCAACAGTAAAAACAGTAAATTTGTCAAAGTGTTTGCAGTTTCAAAAGGGGAACATGGAGAATGCAGAAGAGATGTAGGATGTGATGATTATGAGGTAGGAGGAGAGAAAATAGGAGTAAAAAATTAAAGGAAAAATGAAAGAGAAAACAATAGAATTTTGCTATTAGCAAAAGAAAAGAGAGAAAGAAAATCAAAGAAACAGAAAAGTAAAGAACAATACAAACAAAACCAAAATATACTTACCCAAAACACTATTTCTTTAAAAAGCAGTCATGAAAAATAACTACCTTTAAAAACTACAAGAAATGAGCAAAGAGAGACAGTTATGTATATGTGTAATTGTCCATTAACCATTCAGCACACAAGCCAAAGAGAGGGAGGGAGGAAGGGAAGGAGGGAGGGAAAAGATAAAATAATTTTTTAAATCTTCTTCTTCTTCTTTTTTTTTTTTTTTTTTTTAGTTGTAGATGGACACATTCCTTACCTTTATTTTTTCATGGTGCTGAGGATCAAACCCAGTGCCTCACACATGCCAGGCAAGTGCTCTATGACTGAGCCACAACCCCAGCCCCTTTAAAAATGTTCTTAATAAAAATAAGATAATTGTTTGCATTGCATTGGTCTAAAATTGTCAATGAGAATATATGTTCATTGTATTTTCCCAAATGTCTCTTTTTGTCTTTTCTTGAGGTATGTACTGTGCACAGAAGAGCAGGGGCCGAAGGTTGTCAAATTGCTCATCAAGTTGCCAGCTGGAGTTCAAAAATTCACAGTGTTGTCTGCCTCACTCTCATGGTGGGATCGCTGTAGAGTTCTGTGGGAGGAGTTCCCATAAGCAGAGCTCCTAAAGGCAGGATTTAGGTCTAAGTAGGCCCCAGGTGCTTCCTTGAATGTCAGTTAGTCCGAAGATTTTAAATAAGCACAACTCCAAGACCCCAAAGGTACCGTGCTGGGAGGCTATACCTCAGGAGTCTTGCCTGGATTCCACTGGTACAGCAGAGGAGCCAACCCTTAGCCCCCTCTGCCAACCATGGATCCTGCCCTTCCCAGATTTCCAGGCTCAGTCTCCAAGCATATAGTCCCTCTTGCCCACCCAATCAAATTCCTGGCCCACCCTAGCTGGTCCTGTGAGTCCAGACACAAAGTAGGGAAAAGGGACACAGGATCTCATGGGTCTCTATGGCTGGACCTGTATTCCCCTGGGTAAAATGCTCTCTGTGCTTAATTTCCTCCTGGTCTCCTAGGCACACTCTGAGTCATGAGGCAGGCATCTGCCAGGTCTGTTTTATGGACCTAGTTTAGATTTCCCTGCTCTGGGCTCCTGGACTTGCTCCCACAGCTGCAGACCACAGTAACACGATGGCAAAATGGGTCCTGCCTTGGCTCTCTGCAGACACCTGGGAGATACTTAGCATCTTTCCTGCAGAAAAATATAGTGTAGCACACCCTCTGGATCAGTTTGGCAACGTCCTTGATCTCTGGTTTCTCTGTACCAAGACACATCATGGTGCCACAATGCAGGTCCTCTTAGTCCCTCTCCTTGCTTTTCCCACAGTGGATCAGCTCCAACAGTCACTGGTGCCAGCAGTAGGCTTTCTTCTTTTATTTATTGTGTCCAAACTTCTGAGTCCCTAAGCTGTTCTGAGCCCAGGGTTAAGTCCCTGTTCTACCCACCTAATTGAGAAGCTATTTATCCACTCTTTGGTTTCATGTCACAGAGCACTTAGAAAGCAACTTCCTACTCTGCCATCTTCCATGAGTCCTCCAGCCTTTTTTCTTTTTTTTTACTTTGAGACAGGGTCTTGCTCAGTTGCCAAGGCTGGTCTTGAACTTGCAATTCTACTGCCTCAGCCTCCAGATTCTGGGATTTCAGGTGAGTGCCACCAAGTGTGGCTTACTTTTGCCTTTTAAAAAATATTATATAAGTATAATTTTATTATTTATATTGTTTTCATCATTTTTACTCAACATTGTTTATGTACAATTCATTTTTATCTCCAATTTGTTCCTATTCATTATGTTTTAGTTAGTTTTTATTATGGTAAAGTTTCCAACTGTAGCAAAATTTACTTATCCATTCTATACCTGGTGGACATTCTGGTTGTTTGCACTTGGGCCAATTATTAACAAATAAATTTGGGGGCTTGGAAGCTAAGTATATGTTTACCTTTCTTGGATGCCGCACTATTTTTCAAAAAGATATACCAATTTGTAATCCCAACAGCAGGGTTTGAGACTTTCTGTTGCTCCATTCACTAAACACTTCATTTTTTTTCCAATTTA